TATATGATAAAATTAAGAAAAGTAATCATCACCTTCTCAAATAAATGAATTACTGTTATAGCATTGACAGTATGTTTAGCATTAAGAGACATTGTTCACTCATTTGTTTCTTTCTGTACAAACTCATTCAAATTAAAACCACATACACAGGCTTGCTTTGATCTACTGGCTTATATCTATCACACACCATAGACTACTTCTCCATGAATGCCATGTGCAGAGGATTCAAATATAAATACTTGATCAGATGTACCCATTAAGTCATTTTTATATGGTTATACTTTTTACTAGGTTTTTTCCCCCAAAGAAATAAAATACTCATTTGATTCCTTGAGATTGTAAATGCTATGAACAAACAAAATATTCACTCCCGATTTTTGATGCGTCAGTACTCGATGCTATTAATATACCTGGTGTGCTTTATTCAAATGTAAAAATGCGGGGGAGATGGATGGATTCATCAGATGTGGCAAGCTGTGAGGTGTTCCAAGAACTGCTTTAAGAAAATAAAAGTAAAAATTTCACTTTATGATCTATATGGAATTTAAGAATATAAAGCAATCTCAAAAAAAATAAATAAAAAAGGGTAAATGACTATTTCTGTAAGCTTTACACCAACTTATGGGAAGTTCAGTGGCATACGGACCTTGTCATTGGTCAGAAAAATGGTAAGTTCCTTTCCTTGAGATTCAACCCTGGGTTTTGTTGTAAAGTTCCAATGCCTTCTGCTCTCATAGGAAGATACCACACCAAGGTCTACTGTTCTTTAGGGCTGAGTGCTACAGAACTTGAATCCATCTTTTAGTGAGTACAGTACTGCCTCAACCCATGTCAGTTTGTGTTTATAGAATTTTGGTGAAGAACAAGGAGGTTGGAAAGGAGACAAAATATAACCTCCATACTTGAAAGAAGTTTACAGTTCAACTGAGCAGATACTCTGTGCTTTTAAAAATTAAGGGGAGGGGAAAATAACAGTAAAAGAACAAAAATCCTGTACTATCACTGACAAAAGGAATAAATGGTACACTCTTATAATACAATCCTAAGAGTCCATACATCAGGATACATTTCAAAAGAGACAGTTTCAGAATAGATAATATACATATAGAAAGCTAGCACAAGAGTTAGAAAATATATTAAACCATTTAATCTAATCATTATTATTGTTGTGAAGTATCCGGGAAGGGCAGCAATACACAGAATTATCTTTTAATATACAAGTTGATTAGAATCCAAGGATGTCAAAACTTGGAAGACACTTTAAAGAATATCTAATTTAATGATTATAAACATTTGAAATTGCTATAGAACAAACCTGTGAGTTCAGTCCTACTCTAAAAACTCTATTTCAAGGACTTTAATACATGCTAAGGCAGTCTGTTTTGTGTTTGGAAACTAATTCTTAGAAAAGGTTTTTATTAGGAAGCAGGAAAATTTAATCATAGATGATGAAGATTATGTCTCTAGGAAGAGTCACTTATAGGGACTCAAAAACTAAAATTAGTTGCTGCTGCGTCAATCATGTTAGAACTGATTTGGTAAGCAGCAGTGCAGAGCTGTGTTTCACTTTTCTGTAGCTTTGTTCTTCATGTAAATCATCAAGCCTTTCCTCCTAGGTTCTCTGGGTGGATTTATACTACCAAGCTTCTGGTTAGCAGCAGAGCTCTTAACTGTTTGTCTGATCAAATTTTAAGTCCAAAGAGAGGAAGTCTTTAAGATATATCAATTTCTAACGTCTGATCACACAGAGCAAATCAGTATAAGAAATTACAAAGCCCTAGATTTCTCATCTATGCAATCTCCAAAACATTCTGAAAGCCACACATAAGAAGCGTCAAGATGTTTTTAAATTATACATTTTAATATTACATTAATGTAGTAGATTATACAAATTGCAATGGCTCACTTAAGAATAAAGGGAAGGAGGCATTGACATAGATACTCAGTGTATATTTGATGTGGTGGTTGCTATTGATTGCCTTCAAGTTGAGCACGGATCATAGTGACCCTATGAACAAAACGCCTGAAACCCCTCTACAGCTATCGACATTTATCAAAGTTCATAGAGTTTCCGGAGGCATGTTATTTAGGAAGTGGATGCCATTCCTGCTTCCAACAGTGTCTACTAGGACACAAATAGTCACATTACATTCAGAAAATAGTTAACGGCTTTATTGTATTTTTATAAATACAAACCCATTTAAGAAATGGAATGAAGATAACAAGATGCCATTACACACCTATTAAAACAAAACAAAATCTAAAACCATTGTCTTGGGGTCAACCCTCCACCGGTTTCCTGAGCCTGTCAATCTCAATGGGAGGAGACTACTTCATCTTTCTAACACAGAGGTGGTTTTGAAATGCCTTCTACACTACTAGGGGTGCTGGAATGACTAAAATATTAGACCTTCCAACATGAAGGGCTGACCAGGATGTAAAGTAACAGAAACCTTATCCATAAGGGGTGGAAATGCAAAATGGAACAGCCACTTAAGAAAATGGTTTAGCAGTTTCTTACAAAGCTAAACACAGTCTTACCTCATGATCCAGTCATCACATTCCTGCATATTTACTCAAAATGAGTTGAAGACTTACGTTCATACAAAAAACTATGCATTAATAATTACAGATGTTTTCTTCATAATTGCCAAAATCTGGCAAAATATAATACATTCACACAATGGAATATTATTCGGCAATAAAACCAAATATACTACCAAGCCACAAAAAGGCATGAGGAAAACATATGCACTCATTGTTAAGTAAAAGAAGTCAATATGAAAAGGCTCCCTCCACTATCATTTCAGCTGTATGAGATGCTGCCTAAGGCAAAGCGACAGACATTAAAACATCACTTTCCAGGAATTAGGGGAGAAGAAAACAAATAAAGAGCAAAACTTCACTGCCTTCCAGCTGGAATGGACTCACAACTGACCGTCCAGTTGCAGGGAAGTTGCAGAGACTATAAATTGCACAAAACGGACACTGGTGGATTAGAACCGCTTGCCTTTGGGTTGGCAGTGTAACTCCCTATCGGAAAGGCCACCAGAACTCCTTAATAGGAAAAAAGGGAGAGAGAAATAGGTAGAGTCCAAGGGATTTTAGGGTGACAGACTATACAATATGATACTACAATGATGACTATATTAAAGTATCAATTTGTTAATCCCTACAGAAATATACAACGTAAAGAATGAACTCAAAGGTAAACTATGACTTTTAGGAGATGTGTCATCTACTTCCATAAATAAAGACTGACAACTTTGGAAAACCCAGAAGGCAATTCTACTCTGTCTGAAGGGGCCACCATGAGTCAGAATCAACTCAGGGGCAATGGGTTTGATTCGAGCTTGTGTCTGTGTGAGTGGAAGGAGATGGAAACTCTTCATACTATCTGATGAAGTTTTCAGTAAATCTACAATTGTTCTAAAAAAATGAAGCCTATTAATCTTAAGTAAGGGAAGAGGAAGATTTTCATACTTTCCAACAATATGCTGTTACACAGAATAGTATCACAGTCTTCACTAATGTAAGTCATAATAATATAGTATATCAGTCATTATCTAGTCATGAAGGCTTCATATTTAACATCTCTAGAAAAACAAAAAAGAGAGAAATACATAAACAGGTCCTGTCTACCTAAACAGTAAAAACATTATGATCTCAGATTACTGACTAAAATTCACTGACAAGACCAGAATAATTACATGTTTCAGACTAATTTAAATGGTTGGTTTTTATTTAAGTAGCAACAGGTTTAACTTTATGCCAATATTTTATACTTATTATCGCTTACCTGGTTTAACAGCTCGTCCGCATAGCTGGGGTTGCAGAAGAACTTGTAACATGGCAGGGTTGTTTAAACTTTTCATAATTTGTACTGGATTGGGCTCTGGAAGTAAGCCCTTTTGACTACTGTGCATCTTAAAGAAATATAAAAAGAAGAAAACAAGAATAAATACAGAACAGGTAACTTTTTTTCATGCTTTCATCCAGAAATTCTTACTAAGCTAATAAAATATAATTTTTGATAAATGCGTTTGTCTGGCACTGGATTGACTTGGAAATGATACTGAGCAACAGTAGGGTGTAACGGATACCCAGTAATTATGTGTGAAATGAATAAAAGGGGGGGGAATGAGCTGAAATTGGGTTGATCATAATTCCTGAAAACCCTACATGTGTCAGAATACATTTGCTCTCCACATGATTTTCAATGGATGACTTTCTGGGAGGAGTGTCAGGCCTGCCTTCCAGAGTGTCTCTGGGTGAACCTGAACCTGTAACGTTCTGGTTAACAGTGTGTTAACAGTTTCCATAATCCAGGAAAGCAGCAGCAGCCAAACATGGGAGTAGATAAAATACATTTGCTGGAGGGCTAAAGAAAAGGTGAATGAGTAAGTCTAACTTTCTACAAAGCAGGACTTAGGACCATCTGAGCAAGAGAGGAAAGACAGGCACAAACAGAGTGGTTTGTCCAAGTTGCCACAAGAAATGGAAAAGGACTAGTGAGAGAAGAGCTGAAGATTTGCTGGATGTCCTAAAGGGTAAGCTATAACTGTATGTCACACATCTGTACTGGCAACAAGTCATCTAGTTGTTTAGTTTTCTCCAAGGGGACACAGAAGATCAGCTGCAGAAGTAGGTGACTGGAACAGTTCCGAATTATAAACTCTGCAAATCCAATCCAACACAGGGACAACACAGAACAAATGAAGTTGACAGTGAAAGAACAGCTGAAGTAATGAATTATGAAAGGAAGAATGAAACAATATTAAAATTTATTTTATCCTAAGGAGAGGGGGAAATAAAAGCTTACCACACGTTGAGCTGCTATCAATGCTGCTAACGTGCTCCGCCCCGGTGCTCCTGGGGCACAGAAGGACACCTGGACTTTGTTTCCCTTGATGGTCATGCCATCTGCTGCTTGCTGAACTTCTTCAGCATGCTCTGCTGTGTTATATTCAACCACGGCAAAGCCACCAACGTAATTACCTTCATCCTGTGCAAGCTGATATAACACATTCATTAACATGGTTAAAAGAGAAATCCTGGTTTGAGACACTTACTTATAATATAGAACTTTCCCATTCCAGAACAAACATACTGTGATACTGAAAAAAAAATGTATTCTTTCTTTTAAAATAATAGTTTGTTAAAATGTGCAACAAGGAATGTTTAGAAATCTAAGTTCTTTATAAACTTTAATTAAAATCTCAATTAAAAAATAATAGTTTGTTGTTGCTTAGCTGCCATTCTTTTTCAACGCAGGGAGAATGAATAAGACTCTCTCAAGTTTCTTTCCAAGTCTTGGATTGTATAATTTAAGAGGACTTGCAATGTCTGCTGTAGAAAATTAAGAACTGCAGCTTTCAGTATAGATTACACATCAACATGGAAAAAACAAAAATCCTCACCACTGGACCAGTAGTCTACACCATGATAGATGGAAAAAGATTGAAGTTGTCAAGGATTTTATTTAACTTGGATCTACAATCAATAGCCATGCTAGCAACAGTAGAAAATCAGTAGATATATTGCACTGGAAAAATCTGCTGTCAGGAACTTCTATAAAGTGTTAAAGAACAAGGATATCAGTTTAAAGATCAAGATGTACCTGATTTTCAGCTGCTTCATAAGCATCTGGAAATTGGATAATGAATAAGAAAGACAGAAGGAGATTTGATACTTTTTGCATTGTAGTTTTGGCAAAGAACACTGAACAGACAAAAGCACGAACCTGTCTTGGAGGAGGTGAAACCAGAGGGCTCCTTAAAGGCATAGATAATAAAACCTGGTCTCACACTTTGAGCGTGTTATCAAGGGGCTAGTCCTTAGGGGTAAAAAGACTTCATGCTGGCAAAAACAGAATCGGGAAAAAGGAAGACCTTCACCGAGATGGCTTAAATTAGTGACTGTAACAGTGGGCTTGAGCAATGCGGAAATCATGAGAATGGAACAAGACAGGGTAAGATTTGTATCCATGCATAGTCGCTAAGCCTTGTTACTGTGGCTAGTTGCCATCAAGCTGAATACAACGCATAGTGACCCCATGACAACAGAGCTGAACCCAGTCCTCTCCTGTGCCAGCCTCTCAGACACAGTGGAGCCCACAGCTGCAGCCACTGTGTCAGGCCATCTTGCTAGGGTTCTTCCTCTCTTTCACTGGTCCTTTGCAAGCATGATGTCCTGTCCCAAGGAACTGCTTCTCCTACCAACAAGTCCAAAGTATTAGAGATGAAGCTTCACCATCTTTTCCTCCAATGAGCCCACTGAGTGCACTTTTTCTAAGACATAGATGTTTTTTCTTTGGACAGTCCACAGGAAATTCAGTACCAACACAACAACTCAAAGGCGTCAATTACTCTTTTGACATCTCTGTTTATTATTTAGCTCTCAGATGCATAATAAGTGATCTAAAAGTCCAAAACTCAAGCGCACTTTAGCCATCAAACTGGCATCACTGCTCTTCAGTATTTGGGAGAGGTCCCTGCCAGTGGACTAACCAGTGCAATACATCTCCTGATCTCCTGACTGCAACAACTTTTCCCAACCACTTATTTAATTACCTCATTCTTCTTAGAATGCAACTGTACCTTTAAAATCTGATTTGTAAATGCTACTAAGTCCTTTTGGTCTCTTACCTACAAAGTAAATGATTAAGTCTTCAGTCTCTATCAACCTACCAAAAAAAGACGTGAATTCACCAATAAACAAATACAGTAGCTGCTTTATTAATATTTTGAAAACTATAAAAATGGGTTTCACTAATCCTAGTTCAACATGAGGACTTTTATGCATATATACATTATAATCTTAAGTTTTTCAAAAACTAAAATCTTTTCAAGTTATTTTCAAGGAAAATAATTCCATTCGTGTGAGAACCTTACAAAGATGTAAAATCTGACTTGCGATGTAAATAATTTTCTATTGTTGTTGTTGTGAGCCATCAAGTTACCTGCGATGCATAGTGACCTTATACACAACAGATCTGAACTCTGTCCTATTCTGAGCGAATTTCACAGTCTCTGGCACACCTGCCCTCATGGCCCAAGTTACTGTGTCAACTCATCTAATCCAGGGTCTTCTTCCCTGCACTGCGTCTCTCTAATCTCCCAAGTATGAAGTTCTTCTCCAAGGACGGGTCTCTTCTGAGAACATGCCCAAAGTATGTCAAAGTTTCAAAATTGTTGCCTCCAAAGAACAGCTTGGTTTCACGTTCTCTAGGACAGACTTGCTTGTTCTCTTGAAAGTCTGGTATGTTCAATACTCTTCTCCAGCACCACAATTCAAATGATTCTTCTTCCATCTTCCTTAGTCACTGTTCAGCTCTTTGATGCATAGCAAGTAACTGTGAAAAATATTGCCTGGAATCCCCACGCCTTAGACTGTAGACTGACATCACTGCTCTTCAGCATTAATTTGAAATATTTTTGCAAAGGTAAATAGTCAGTAGAAAATATTACAGTGAACATTTTAAAACAAAATGTGAAGCTAGAAAAATGATGCATGATTGTGGTTAGACATCTGGGCTGTTTCCATGGTCTTGTGATGGTGAATAACGCTGCTATGAACATTGGTGTATACATCTCCATTTGTGTCTTACTTCTAATTTTCTTGGGGTATATTCCAAGTAGTGTAATAGCTGTGTCCTTTAGAATTTCTATATTCAGCTTTTTCACACGATGGAATACGATGCAGCATGCAGGAGCAATGATTTTGAAAGTCACTACATAACTCAGCAGGAATTAGAGAGCAAGTAAATGAACTCAGTCCCATAAGGATAAATACTGTGTAAGACCATTATTGTAGAAATAGAAAGATAACTAGTAAAAATGTGTATGAGAATCCAAAGGGGAGAGAGTAGGAGCAGAGGGGTGAGGATGAGCAGGGAGGGGATTATGGTGTCACACAATTTGATGGGTAAAGGAAATGGGAAAGATCCGGTGTATATGAACTTTGTAAGCAAACCAGTATAAAATAAAAATTTTCTTTTTTAAAAAAAGATGTACGATCCCAGCCTGTAAGTATCCAATTCACAGTGTTTATAAATATCACATCAATAAGCCAATCCACTTTCAACAACCAGGCAATGATGGGATAAGAAATCTGTCACAAGGTATTCCAATATACACTTCTGGAATGGTAAATTTGATGCTTATTTTATTGTGATTAAAGGTATAAACAAGAAAGAAAAAGTAAGTTGGAATACTCTCAAACTTCTACCAATCTTATAGAAACTTAACAACATACTATTAAGGGGGGGGTGGGATGGAGGAAAAATGGAGGATAATAAGATAAAGAACATGAGAAGAAGGAGGGTACAAAATGGTAAAGGAAAAAGAAAACAAATTAATGTAAACAAGAGAAAAAGAGTCCACTCAAGTCATTAAAAATTATATGAAAAGCAGTCAGATTTTTTTTAACTATTCATTATAATATAACTGATTTGACGATATCTAAAATTTAGGGAACCCTGGTGGCCTAGTGGCAAGAAGCTGCACTGCAATTCTGAAGGCCTGCAGTTCAAGTCCACCAGCTGTTCCGCAGTAGAAAGATGGGCCATCTTCACTCATGACTCTAATTGCCTCTAATAACCCTTCAGAGGGTCAACTATGGGTCGGTTCTGATTCAGTGGTACACAACAACAATTTCTAAAATTTCTCACCAGTTTTTGAGATCTTCTCTACATCCTCACCTACCATAACTCCATTCATATGCATTCTTTTAAAAGCTTGTACTACTTTTCTATCTCCTACTGTTTCATACAACATAACAGGGTTTGCAGTAATTCACTTGCTTATCATTGTATCCTATGAAATTGTCCTGAAATGAGATAAGCGTGTTATCGAATTTCTGACAATTAGCATAGTGCCTGGCACAGAGAAGATGCTAATTAAAACTTAGACAGATGAAAGGATCAGTGGATGAAGAGACAGACAAATGGAAGGCAAGAGAAGGTGAATATATACTCGACAATTTTGTTAAGACATAAATGTGTAACAAAATTGTCTGACCTACCAACAGAAGCAATTAACTTAAAACGTTCCCACAGACTTGAGTCTTCATTATAGACGATAGCAGAATTAGATTACTCACTGTGGTATTTACAGAGTCGTGATAAATAAATCTGAGAGTGCAAGCAGAACAGATACATCCAACCGTAATTTGAAATTTTTCAACAATATTTAAAAAATACATACCTGGCAAAACACAGGCTTATGGATACTGGAAAAAAAGTGCAACAGCTCCTCTGAATCTCTGTAGTCACTAGGGAGTTTATCTATACAAAGGCACTTGGAATGAATGAGCTCTGAGGCCAACAGATTCACATCCATCCACTGTGCAAAGAGAGCAGACGCTCCCAACTGTTTACCCAATAGCTCCAATCTAGCCTTTGCAGCAAAGTCTTTTTTCATGTATTCCACAAATCCATAGCCCTTGGAGTGGCCAGTAACTTCATTGTAGACCAGGAAACATCTTTCAATATTTCCATAAGCACGGACAAGTTCTTCGAACTCCTCTAATGTAAAAGAACTGGGCAGGTTGGTAATGCACAGCAAGGCATCGGTGGGCTGCAGCTGAACTACTAAATCCTTTCCTCGAAAGGAGAACTGATGAAACATCTGAATTGCCTTCTGAGCTTGCTCCCCATTCAATAAGGTAACAAAAGCTGGAAGAAAAGAAAATTAATTCAAATGTTTCAAGATCAGTGTTTTCAATATATGGCCATGACTCCCAGTAAGAAATACCTTTTGTGTCTATGCCTCAAACATACATATATACGCATACATGCACACATATTTGTGAAACAAAAGTATCATGAAGTACTACTTACACTTGCCATATGAAATAGATTGATATTTTCTATTCTATTTCATTATATATGTATGTGTGTTTCTTAATGTTTATACTAGCCTCATCCTCCATTAAAGTAATTTCATGCTCAGTACAAAAAACATTAAGAGTGACATTGTAAGATCCCAAAATACTTTGCTGTAGTTGTTTTTCATACCTTTTATCTTCTCCTTACCACTGGACCAATAGGCAACATCGTAAGACATATAGAAAAGACTAGTTATCAATGATTTCATTTTACTTGGATCCACAATCAATATTCATGGAAACAGCCATCAAGAAATTAAAAAAAAACATGTTGCAATGGGAAAATCTGTTGTCAAGGACTTCTCCCAAGCACTAAAGAGCAACAATGTCAGAATAAGACTACGATGAGCTAGTCCAAGCCATGGTATTTCACCTTCCTATGCATCTGTGAGTTGGACAATGAATAGAGGGTCAAAGAAGAACCAAGGCCTTTACACTGTGGTGCTGTAGAAGAATACTGAATATACCATGGACTGGCAAAAGAACAAACCAATCTGTCTTGGAGAAAGGGCAAACTATTTGCTCATTAGAGACAAGGATGGTAAAGCTTGGTCTCACACCTTTTGAGCATGTCTGCCAGTCTTTCGGAAAATATGTCATGCTTAGGAAGGTAGAGAGTAAGCAACAGAGAAGACATGATGGAGCTCGTGGCAACAGCAAGACACGGCGAGATTCAGATCTGGTTTTCAAAGAGCCACTACGAAACATAGTCAATGGCAGCTCACAACAGCATAACAACTATCTTTTCCAAATTCTTACTGGTAAGTTTTTACTTTGCCATGTAATAACAGTTTTTCAAGTAACAATAAAGATCCAAACAAAAAAAGATACTAAAGTTCCCCAAAAGAGGCCAATTCTTTCTACAATATAATTTACACACTTTCTTAAATCATGTTAATTACAATGAAAAAGCAAACAAATTTGGTGTACTTTTTGACAAAAATGATGGTGTGAAGAAAGCACAGGCTCTTGTTTTGAATCTTCATAAAGCAATTAAAAAGTATCTGTCTTCTCTAGCTAATTAAGTTATTCCAGCATCAGGCAATAAATATGCATGACAAATTGTAAAATCTAAAGAATGCTACAAATATAGGTGTGAAATCAATAAAACATGCAAAACATGGTTTTATATCTGATAAAACTTCAGCCATACTTGTTTATCTATTATTATAAAAAACAAAAATAAAGGATAAAAATATCTTGAGCAATTTTACAGGAGCCATTCATGCCATTCATTAAAATAAAGAACATATGACAATCCGTAAATCACAAAAAAAACTGATCCTTAAAAAACTTCACCCTCTCTTCTCCAACCTCAAATTTTCCTCTTCCTCCCCTCTCACCTGCCTCCACTAATCTCTCAATCTGAACATACAATGCAGTTGTTCCGTATGAGCCTTTAACCCACCTAAATCCAACTATAACAACATGGCAAATATGTACACAGCAAGAGAAAAAAAAGCTAGCATTTGCATGACCTGGACAACAATGGCTATCCTTCTGATTCTTCTCTCTAATGATCTCAGTGCTCACGTGGCTCTGAGATTGTGGGAATCTCAGCACACCAAGTGTGAAACCAACATTTAAAGAGATCAGATGTTTCATTAAACTTCGGCCCCCACATGCAAAGCAGGTCCCACCAAAGGAACAACTACATCTTCTAAAACATAGAAAAATCACCGTCGTAGTGGTGGTTTGTTGTTTTTCCATTCCAGCAATGAAAAAGTTTCATTAGAAAAATCCTTGCAGGGGAGATATAGAAGGTAAGGCAGTGGTAGCCCATGACTCTGAGAAAATTAGTTTTGATGGGTATCATGTCTATGAAGAATGCTCATTCATTAGAAAAACTCCCACATCTCTAATAAATATATATTCATCTAAGTAATTTAAGTTTTAATTTACTTCAAGGAAATTAATAGCCTAAGTAACATTTACATGATTGAATACATGTTAAGAGACTAGTTCAGCAAAAAGAGATTACCTTTTTTTATCTATAATGACTATATAGGTAGAACAAAAATGAAATTAGATGCACAGATGTGAAATCTTACCTGTTCGTTTATTTCTGTCCACATAACAATACTTTAACTCATAGTCTTGTAACAAATCATGAACTTCCTGAAAGAGACAAAATCATTTCAACAAATATAAAAATATATAAATAAAAATATAAATAAATAATATAAAAGCAATTAGTGGATAATCTAGTATCAGCCTACTATCACTAACATCTCCAACCACCAAGAGTGTTTACTGTGGGGTCTAGAAAGCTGAAATTGTTAACAACCTCAATCTTTTCCCATCTATCATGGTGATGCCAGTTGGCCCAGTGGTGAGAATCTGTCTTTTTTATGTTGTGTTTCAATCTATGTTGAAGACTATAGTCCTTGACTTTCTACAGCAAATGCCTCAGGTCCTCCTCAGTTTCAGCAAGAAAGGTTGTGTCATTTTCTTAACACAGGTTGTTGATGAGTGTTCCTCCAATCTTGATGCCACATTCCTCCTCATAGAGCCCAGCCTCCTAGATTATCTTTTCTGAATATAGATTGAAAAGGTATGGAGACAGGACACATCCCTGACATACTCCTTTCCTCATTTTGAACCATGTAGTGTTTCCTTGCTCTGTTTTTTATGACTGTTTCCTGGTTCAAGTACAGGTTTCACATGAGCACAATAAAGTATTCTGGGATTTCTGTTCTTCTCAAGCTTAGACACATTTTGTTGTGATCCACACAGTCAAATGCCTTTTCTTACAATGTCCTGCCCTCCAAGTATGTGGCTGCTTAAAATAATTGTAGATTTCCTCTTTTCCCCTTATCCTTCTTGTTAAAGTGACAGTATTTGAAAACAAGAACTGAATTTTACATATTTGTTGATTATCTCTACTGTTTTCTATAAAGTACGCCTCAAATATACATTAAAGTGAATTTAAGGGCTTTGTTTTTCACGGATATGTTGACACTGAGATTTTTACTAATGATACACAGCAAAGGTAGTTATTCTTTCCTAAAGGAACTAAACTATCACAGAGGTAGACATTCTGGCCTCAGACTGGAGAGTTAACATAAACATACTCTATCCTGTACATGAATAAACTAAACATACACAAGTACACAAGAACTCCTTCTCTCTGATTGCCTATCAAGTCAGAACAGACTCACGGTTGAGTCTCTAGTGGGTTTCCAAGACAGAAAACTTCACAGGAGGAGACTGCCCATCTTTCTCCCAAGAAGCCCCTGGTGGATTCAGCTTTTAGGTTAGCAGCACAATTCTCTACAGTTTGTATCACCAGATCTTTCCTGAAAAGGACTAGTCTGCTAAAAATAGTAACAGAACTCAAAACACTTGTTACCAGCAGCCAGGAAATTAAAAGATGAACTGCACTGGGAAAGTCTGCTGTCAGAGACCTCTCCAAAATACTGAAGATCAACAATGTCAGTCTGGAGAATAAAGTGCGCCTGGTCCAGGCCACGGTCTTTGCAATTACTTGCTATGCACTGGAAAGCAGGACAATGACTAAGGATGACAGAAGGAGAGTTGAGCCTTTGAGCTATGGTGCTGGAGAAGAGTACTGAAAACACCATGGCACCACAACAAGATATAGGTAAATAATCCAATAGAAAAACGGCACAGGATATGAACAGGCACTTCACCGAAGATGACATTCAGATGGCTAACAAGCACATGAAGAAATGTTCAAAATCCCTAACTCTAAGAGAGATGCAAATTAAAACAACTGTGGGATATCATCTCACCTCAGTCAGAACTGCAAAATTTAACAGAATGCTAACGAGGTTGTGGACAAACTGGAACCCTTATTCACTGCTGGTGGGAATGTAAAATCATGCAACCACTGTGGAAGGCAGTATGGTGCTTTCTCAAAAAGTTGCAAATAGAAATACTATTTGACCCAGCAATTCCACTACTGGGAATATACCCCAAAGAGTCCATAACTGACATCCAAGCAGATATATGCACAGCCATGATTATTGCAGTTTTGCTCACAATAGCAAGGAGTTGGAAACAATCTAAGCGCCCATCAACAAACAAATGGATAGAGAAGCTGTGGTACAGTCACACAATGGAATACTATGCTGCATTGAAAAACAAGGAACTCATGCAATATTATTCAAAATGGGTGACTCTGAAGGACAGTATGCTGAGTGAAGTATCTCAGTCACAAAAGGACAAATACTGCATGGTGGCATTGTTGTAAAACAGGATTGACCTGAGGTTTGGGGAGAGACTGAGAAAGATGGGTTCAATAATGTATACTGCATTGAAACAGATGAGGGAGAAAACTGTTTAAAAGGGATATGTGATTAGGTATTTTTGTCATGACAGGAGTCTAGAGTGAAGGCTACATGGTGGAGTAGACCTGGGGGAGGGTTTGTAAAACAATGAAAGAATTTTTCTTTTACTTTTCCAAGAGAGTAGGGTTCTGGGGGGAAGATTCGGAGGGGAGAAATGTGCAAAAATGAATGAATGGAAATCCAAAGCCTCTGTAAATTTTTATTGAAATTAATAATAAATTTAAATTAAAAAAATTAAGTTAGAGTAAGGAAGACAATGGATTTATAACTGCTCATGCTAATAACACTATATCATGGCATGGAGGAAGAACAGTGGAACTGTATCCACATTTACAATATTCTTCTTACCAAAACCATTTATGGAAAATAGGAAGTGCATTGGAACATGTATCTGTTATTTGTTATATATTTGTTTAAATTGTCCCCTCTTCTAACAACTGGGATCTAGCGGGAAGAGAAAAGACCAGAGAATGGTCAAAATTATTGGGGCAGTTCTTGCTGTCAGTTTAGGGCCTGTGTCAGGAAAAGGAAGTCTTACTCATCAACAGTGCCACCCAAAGGTAATAAAGGAGGTCAGAATTGCTTCCACTGTGGAAAGCTGGGCCACTTCAGTAGACAGTGTCACAGATGAGAGCCACAGATAGGTAAGGGAGTAGAGAGGAAGCTCCCACTCACTTGCTTTAAGGGTGGATCTGAAGGGCGGCCCACATCAGGTCCTCATGGCTGACAGGACTGATAGGCCCCAGCTCCCAGCTGGAAACAAAGGAGGATGCATCAACGATTCAGATCCCCAAAAGAGCCATGGTGAGCATTAACATTACTGGTAAGTATATTCATTTTCTCCTGGACACAAGAGCCTATTATTTGGTCCTAAAAGCCTTCTGAGTTCCCAACTCTTCTCACTATTTCTTAGTTGTTGGAATTGATGGAAAACCTCATAAGCAGTTCCTTACTTCACCCCTGCCTTGCATGTGGACTTCCAAGCTACAAAACAACCCAGTGATAGATGGAATTTGGTCCATGACTTAAGAACAATAAATGACATAGTGAGCCTCTTTAAAAAAATAAAAAAGAAAACACCATAGACTGCCAGGAGAATAAACAAGCTCGTCTGGGAGAGGATGAGGTTGGCTGCTCCTTGGAGGCAAGGATTCTGAAGCTTCATCTGACATACTTTGGACGTGTTGCAAGGTGAGATCAGTTCTTGGAGAGGGACATCATACTTGGGAGGGTGGAGGGACAGTGCAGGAGAGGAAGGCCCTCAATGAGACAGAATGATTCAGTGACTGGGGTAATGAGGGTAGGTGTTATCAGAGACAATAAGATTGGAAGAGGATAGGGCAGGGTTTGGGCTGTTGTACATAGGGTCACTATGAGTCACAAGCAACTTGACAGAACATAACAACAACAATTACATAGCTCCCCTTTATTTAGCTTGTCCTAGATACCAGTAAAATTAAAAAATAAGGAAGCTAAAAAAATAGAGAAGTAACTTACCTGCCATGGTCATATACACTAACTTGCTAAGTAGAGATGTGTTCACACTCTCACATACTCTATATGCGATAGAGAGAGCTCTGGTAGCCTCGTGATAAGAAGTGGTGGGCAATCTCAAAGACAGAGTGTTCAAATCCACCAACTGCTCTACAGGAAAAGGATGGGTAACCTCCTCCCATGCAAGTTACTGCTTCTGAAAACCTGCCAGAATGTCAGCTTTCAGTTGATTTAATTTGACAGCACACAATGACAATATGTCATACTGTCTTATTCCTTCCAAAACTAATTTTAACAATAGTACTTTACTACTAATTATTGCAATAAACAGAATTACTGGGGTCATAATAAGTGAGTATGAAAGTAACATGGAAATATAAAACTAGTAAGTGGGTAGTCATGAGCTGAGAAATATCTTCCCCATTAATCCAATGTAAAGGGCAAAAATGAGCACTAAAATAGATAACAGCATAAAAATACAATGCTGGTTTGATGGGAAAATAATAATCACTATAATCAGAAAGATAAAGCTACTCATAATGCAATATTCTCTATTGTTGTGTACTGCCGAGTCAGAACCGACATATAGCTAACCCTCCTGCGAATCTTCAGAGGCAGTAAATTGCATGGAAGGAAACTGCCCATCATTCTCCCTTGGAGCATCTGTTGGGTTCTAAATGCATCTCTTCAGGATTGCAGTGCAGCTTCTTGCCACTAGGTTACCAGTGCTCCCTACAGTCCCTATGTGAGTCACTGTTGTTGTTGTAATGTACCGGCAAGTCGCTTGCAACTCGTAGCGACCCTATGTACAAGAGCCTAAAACCCTACTCTATCCTGGGCCAGTCTCACCGTCTCCGACACACTTACTCCCACCAACCCAATCACAGAATCAATCCATCTCATCGAGGGTCTTCCTGTCCTGTGCTGGCCCTCCACCCTCCCAAACATGATGTCCCTCTCCAAAGACTGGTCGCTCCTTGCAACATGCCCAAAGTATGTCAGACGAAGCTTCAGAATCCTTGACGCCAAGGAGCAGCCCGGGTTCACTCTCTCCAGGACATACCTGTTTGTTCTCCTAGCAGTCCATAGTGTATTCAGCACTCTTCTCCAGCACCACAGCTCAAAGGCATCAACTCTCTTTCTATCATTCCTAGTCACTGTCCAATTCTCCAATGCATAGCACAAAAGCGAAGACTATAGCCCGGATCAGGTGCACCTTAGCCTCTGGCCTGACATTGCTCTTCAGTACTCTGGAGACGTCTCTCACAGCTGACTTTCCCAATGCAATTCATCTCCTGATTTCCTGACTGC